TATCTTCACTTTTATAATGATGGTGCAGTGGTGCTCTATCTGGAAGCTTAAATTTTGTCAACAGAGTGGCAGCATAGACTTGCATGTTTACCCAACGCCCAAAAATAAAAACAAAACATGGGGTCCCCCCTAAAATTCTTCACCAGACTCTTAATCTGAGCACTGGCCTGACATGGCAGGGAGAAGGCAGGGACGAGCGAGCGCCCCCTCCTCCCTGCCCCATACTATCCTACTTGCCCCCCCCCAATCTGAATGAGTAAGGGGTAGTTGTTACCCCTACTCATTCACCAAAGAGTCAAGTAAAATGTAAATAAACAGACAACACCTTGGAAAAAATCCTTTAATTGAACAAAAAACACAAACACAGTTTTTGACAAATCCTTCATTGTTAAAAAAAATTGTCCAATGCTGTAATCCATGGCCAGTCCAGTGATGTAATCCAGCGTCAATCACGATGAACGATGCCCGCAGAAATTAAATAAGTTCCCGAAGCCTGCACACCCGTCCGCGCCTGCCGACCTCCTGCCGCTAAATGGCAGATTGGACAGCTCCGCTCACTAATGTAAACAGATGGGCGGAGCGAGTCGTGACATCACGACTCACTCCGTGCATTTTTTTAATGCCTTTTCAGGTCAGTGAGCTGTCATGGCATTAAAAAAAATGGGCGGAGCGAGTCGTGACATCGGAGTGTCAAATCTGTCATTTAGTGGTGGGAGTTCGGCAGGAGCGGATGGGTGTGCAGGTGTCAGGACTTTTTTATTTCGAGTCAGCAGGCGTGGTTCATCGTGATTGATGCTGGATTCCATTATCCATGAATTACAGCGTTGGACGATTTATTACTTTTTTTTCAATAAAGGACTTGTCAAAAACTGTGTTTGTGTTTTTTGTTCAATTGAAGGATTTTTTCTAAGGTGTTGTCTGTTTATTTACATTTTACTGTACTCTTTGGTGTTTGAGAGGGGGTAACTACTACCGCTTACTAATAAAAAAAAAGGGGGGGGGTGGTATCTGGGTGCCCCCTTTATGGAAGGGGTACCCAGAGGCAGATAAGTCCCCCTGTCCGCGGAACCTCTCAACCCGGGTTGTGAGGAAGAGCCCTTTGTCCTCATCGGCATGGGGACAAGGTGTCCCTCTGGAAAAGCAGCCTCCCATTGGCGAGGGAATGTGGCCTGGTATGGTGCAGGGAGGGGGGAGCGCATGCTCGCTCACCCGTCTTTCCTGCCCATCCAGGCCAGTGCTCAGATTAAGGGTCTGGTTTGGAATTCTAGGAGGGACCCCGTGTTTTTTCCCTTTTTTGGGGGTGTTGGGGTCCCCCTTAAAAACCCCACCAGACCTAAAGGGTCTGGTATAATTTGGGAGTGTATCCTGCGCTGTTTTTTTTTCCTTTAATTCTATTTAACCACTTTGGCTGTGTATTCTGAGCCGAAGCATATACATTCATCTCGGATGTGTGCTTCAGCTGCCAGTGTTAATTTTGACAAAATTTCAATTCAATTTTGGTCATATTCTTTTGACTAAATGCCATTTAGTTTTAGTCATATTTTAGTCATCTGAATTGTTTTTGTTTTAGTCTAGTTGTAGTCGGCTAAATATCATAGTTAGTTAAAGAGTAATTTAAGAATTTCTCTAGAATTTCCAATCTCATTGTATTTTCCTGGAGTAAACATCTGTTAATCTGTTATTACTTATGGTATTGAGGTTTGAAAATGCAATACAGACACAGATTTAACTGTTGGGGTATTTATTTATCTAAAAATCAGATTAAACCAAGTATTTAAAAGAAACAATAATATTGAGTATTTTCAACAAAGGGCCAGTAATAAGATATGCATTGATTATAACAACTTGCATATGACATTCTTCACTCTTTCAAGCAGAAGTGCAACTCTAAAATATTAAAATTAAAAACTATAGTGTCTGTAATGCCATTGCACATATTACCTATTAGCCGCCCATTCAGGATGGAACCGGAACTGGAATCGGATCTCTTCCCATACCGTCTATCCCCAACATTTTAGTCTTGTTTAAGTTAATCGACTAAAATGTCAATATATTTTCATTATAGTTTTAGTTATCATAACTTTATTTAGTTGTAGTCACTGAAAAAGTGTTGTTGACGAAAACTATGGCTAAAATGATTAGTCAACAAAATCAACACTGGTACGCACTACTGTGAATAGCGTGTACAGCAGCCCTTCGGCGGTACCTAGGGGTCCCTGCAGGCGAAGCAAGCCGAAGGATTAGCGAAATCCTTCGGCTCTTTAGTGAATAACCCACAAAATGTAGCTAAGCAGGCTAATGGGAGATAAGCATTGATGAAACAATGTTTTTCCTATAACAAAGACAACTGTTTACTATAAAATATTTGTGCTCATGTTACCGTTATTTATTCTTTATAAGACCACTGAACATAAAACTATTTTGAAACTAGGAGCTCATATGCTTTATTCCACATTTAAATGACTCTTCTCGGTATGTGTCTGTGCGCTACCTCCCAATCTTTACTTTGCTCTGTTGCCAGTCAGAGAGACAATGAGCTTACAAAGAAATCAGGGGTTTCAATCCACTAAATTACTAATGCGCTAAAACAGGGTGTATGACTATTCCTGAATGCTAAACGATGCCTCGACTGATAAACTCCCTAGGCAATATAGACCAAAAATGATGTACTGTATTGAAAAGCTTCCAATGAACCCTGTTGTAATAGAATGTATACAGACCAGCATCCACAAGGATCCACTAAGTACATTGTTCTCGTGGAGTTTGCATGTGCTCTCTGCCTCTATTTACATGGGTTTACCTTGGGTGTTATAGTTTCCTCCAAACCTTCAAAACCATATTTGGTAATTGGTCTTCCAAAATGGGCTAGTGTGTGTACAAACATGGTAAGGACATTAGAGTTTTGCTTTTTTTGAGGGTCCAGAATATATGTTATTAGTCACTGAATATTGATGCTGTATTATTATGTTATATTAATGTTATTTTAAGAATTAACATAAATAAAAGACAAAAATCAAAAGACTATCAACTAGCTTTAACAGTTTACTACTACCTATCAGTAAGTAAACAGTCATCAGTTTGCACCCAAACTGACCTCATTGGCTCCCTGGCCTTTGATAGAGCTGGTATCCTGATTCCTGGATGTAGAGTCAGTTTCCAAGGATGAATGCTTTTTCCCAATCTGCCAGCTATTACAAAAGACTCATGTTCCTCAAACGTTTTGGGTGGATATCAGTGTGTTGAACCACCTGTTGACTGGGAGCGTTCAATGATTAACGTGCAGCAGTTTGTTTCTCTACCCCCTACCACAAGGACAAAGATGTCTATCTGTTAGACTCACCAATTATTGATTGATTTGACTTTCTTAGGGATCTTGCTGGGACAAAGCTGTAAAATTTGGTGAAACTAGGAATCAGTTTTGTGGATAGTTGGTCATTTAAGGATAAGTGCAATGTAAGTAAAGCATTCCTGCACTCCATCACTGTGTGGATTTCACGTTAAACAGTTTGCCCATGGAGAATAATACATCCTGAGCACATGCGCTGATGGACCCTTATTGTTCTTTGTGTTTTATTTATTAGAATGTAACATGAAGAGAATACACTCCAAGGAGTGAAATGCAGTGGTGTCCACACATTTAAAATCCAATTTACTCTCAGTTTAAAGCAGCTGAATACATTTCCTCTTTTCTGATTGCAGAGCTATAGGTCTGACTCAGGAGGGCGTGTATCAGACCTCACAGACAGGAAAAGTCACACTGTAGTGTGGACAGGCTTTTCTACCCGGGCTGTGGCTGCTTTAGGTAGAAAACAAACTGTAATACATTGGACACCTTTGTTTTGATGCAACTAGAATGTATTTAGCTGATTTAAATGGAGATGTAAATTGGGCTTTAAGTTATGCAGCCCTAGTTTTATTTTTCTGCATAGGCTATGAAAGGGGATATGGGGGTGTTAGTTGTCATTTTTGTAAAAAATTCAACTATCTTTGGATGATTATGATTATTTGCAGGAATGTTTGTAAATGCTTCGACAACATATTGCTAAACAACGCCGATCAACTAAGAAAAATGTTAAAAAACAAACAGGATAATGCTAACAGCTCACTTAAATACATTTTTTAATGAGAAATACCTGCTTTTGTGTTCTGTTAATACTTGATATACGCTGATTAAAAAAGTCTGGTTTTCATAGGTGCCCAAGACACAGTCCTTGTAAATTCTGAATTCTGCAGCCGTCACTGCCTCTCCCTCTGGAATCTGTGATAGATTAAACTTGAATTCTTTGTGATGTCTTAGACGGGGTGGCAGCTCCTTATCATGTTCAACTAGAAATGGAGAAAATAGGCGACATGACTTAAGTATATCCCAAACATTATAAAACATTTTAAAATGTGCATGAAAACAATATGCTAACATAATAAAATAATGCTAACATGTATACAGTATGATATGACATATAAGATGCCCAAAGCAGCTAGCAGAGACCTTTTGTTTTGAATTTCAGTATTTCATGGTTGTCATAGCTCTACAAACTCTTAACCATACATAGTGGAGTGAACCTATTAATTTCGTGACAAATCCTATTTGTATAATTTAAACACACAAGCTTTTTTTTATTTTATTCAGTCCTGATGCTTATGGCCATAGGTAGGTAAAAGTCTTGGCACTCTGGACCCAAGTGATGTTGTTAAACTTAATACTGTAAAACTTTCAAATACAGGAAATAAAATGGCATGTACAACCAACTGAAGCTTGAACAATTTAATGCTGGGTCTGGAATAAGGAAACGAAATCCTTCAGAGAATGAATACTATATGCAAACAATGGAGCTGTTATCATACATGGCACCGCCTATGTTCACATCTTGATATCCACTAAAATCACAAACAGGAGTGAAGGTAAAACCCTACATTAAAATATCTGTAAACCTCAATGGTGAGCTCCATTTTGGTCTGGTAAATATACAATTGAAAGCATTTTCTTATAAATGCTTATCTGTGAGCTTGTAACTTCCTGTTGTAAGTTGCTTCTGCTACACTTAAATCCTAAGTAGTCTTATCAGTCCTGCTCAGGTTACATCTGGAAATTACATAACATTGCCTTCTTTGCAATACTTATGTGGAGAGGGGGTGTGTTGGAGCGACCAGCCTAGGGTGATAATGCTGTTTCATCATAGATACAGTACAGTAAGTTAGTGTTATCACCCTAAGACAGGAAGTGTGCTATTGGCATAATCTGCATGGGAAAAAAAGCCTAAAAAAAATTAATTGGATTTTTAGCTCTTTTAATCATGGAGGCACATCATCACAAGGTAACAATATCTAGGGCAGGCTGCAGGAAAATGCAACCCACGTAGGCATGCCTACTCCTGAAGGAGTAAGTAAAATGTAAAAAAAAAAAAAAGTTACTTATGTGCTGGGATATATGACATTTATCTGTGATATTGTGCTGCCCCGGCAACCTATTTGTCTTATTTTATTGTATTTGGTATGTTCCTCTGTTCCCCCTTCTGTTTTGTCTCTAGTTAGTGCAGTCCCTAGCAAGACACTCCCTTCCTCTCACTCTACTGCTCAATTTAGTTTCACTTTCCAAACAAAGACATGGCTGAGAAAAGTTTTTTTTTTTACACGTCAAAGGAGAAAAAACATCCTAAAAAATGCTCTGTTCTGTATTCTTTTTAAAAGGAAATCTATGTTGGAGTCAACTTATGTGTCTTATTGAAGAGTTAAACAGCATGTAGATTTTAGCCAAGTCAGCAACAGATAATACGGGGAGTGTTGTCTATATGCTACAGGTACTCAAAGTATAGTGAGTGGATACATTTTATAAAGGATGAAAGGACATTGTGGTCCTTTGTTTTCATATTCTGTGAAATAGAGAGAGACAATGGAGAAACCTTAAAGTACAGTACAATGTAATAACAAGGACCTTGCAAAAATCTACTGGATCTGCTGGATAATCATTATGGTTAATATCCAGTGTGTCCTCTTGGTACATCAAAATATATAATATTCAAGTTTTTATGTTTTATTCCGGAATCTAGATTGAGATATCATGAAAGTATTGGATAAGGCAATATAATAAGTATGAGATATGTAAAAAGTATGGAGTTGCTGTATTCTGGTGTTTTTTTGGGGGGGGGGGTTTATGTGTTTGTTAGGGATTAGAATAAAGATTGCATACTGTATTTTGAAATAGTCAGACCAGGGAGGACATATGATTAAAATATTTATGCTATGAGATCTTATGTCTAAAATCAGTGAGTGGGGTAATCCACATTGTCAAAGTTTAAATGCAATAGTCTAAGGCGGTACTTAACCCCAATTCAATAAGATTATGAGTATGGCAAAACCTAAATATCGACCATACAGTTCAAAAAAATGTATGAGCAAGTGAGAAGCACTGACTTCTTATCTTCTAATTCGGTGCTGTATTCATGCTGTCCCAGGCACACTGCAATTATATTGTCCTTTTGCACAAGCTCCATCCTTTGTGTCATGTGATACATTTGTTAAAAGCTACTACTAGAATGAGCTATTAGAAGCATCATGCTGTCTACTTTTTACGTGCAACTAATTTCCGGTGTACAGACCAACAAACAAGAGAATAAAGAAATTACTTCATGTTTTCTGAACTATGCAAAGACCTTCTGACACCTCAACATCTAGAGATTGGGTACAGTGGCTGCATCTGAACAGGGACACCACAGATGTCCGGAGTTGGACAGAAGAGGGAAACAAAATGAGGAACGAGTTATTACAATTTGTACATTTTGTAGTATTATAGTAAATACAGCTCTGTTCTAAGTTCTTCTTTAAATGACACACAGTAGCTGTATTTATTATGTTAGTTCTAGAAGCTGCTGGTTTTTAGAAGCACTTCAGTTTTGTACAGGGTGGTGATGGTAGTTTAACATTCTCTGTTTACACAAATGTTAGAATTTATTATTACAATTTTAGTAAATGGTGCAATGGTTGAAAATACTGCTGACAAAGCATAAAATATGCTGGAAATATGCTATAGCGAAGGAAAAAAACAATACATGTTTAATAGACATTCAGCTGAAGTCATAGAGCTTTTTGAGGAAATGTCAATCATAGATCTTTAACAGGCTTCCACGGTATATTATAAGGTAAGCAGTTTTGATGCTTAGGGAATTTTCAAAATACTGCATACATTATAGAAATTGTACAAAACTGAAACAAACCCTTAATGTTAAAAGTTCCTTTTTAGCGCTATGCTTCGGAAGAGATAGGGTTAAGAGTGAATGTGAGGCTAGTTAGAGACAAGTGATTCTGAGGGCATCGGTAGTTAAAGCAAAATTCACATTTTATTTCAGCACGGACAGGTCTCAACCACAAAAAAGTGATTGATTGCAAAAAAAGGAATACTGACATTTTTTGTAAGGTGACTTATGAAGAGAAATATCTGAGTCCCAGAGTAGCGGCTCAGCAGTAAATTTTAAAATTTTCAGAGCTATCTAGTTAGTTGTTTGGACTAACTTCCCTATTTTATTGCATCACACTTTGAATGTGTGTGTGTGTGGATAAATATGTTTTTAGTCTACAGCCACATGCTCTCCTGATAAGACTCACCACCTGCTGGTAAATGTGGAGTGTTAATACTGTATATAATATTCCAAATTTACAAATGATACAAATATACAAAAGGTATTTTCCTGGGTAGATTCTAGAGGCGTTTATAACCCATCTTCTTTAATGTGCTTTCTTCTCTTTTATTAGGCTAGGCTGCAGTCATACAGGTGTCTGAGGATGACTGCGGCACTAATCTATGGATTTCTGCGGCAGGAATGCCAAGTGTCCCTGTTTAGATGCGACCGCTGTACCTGTTTAAGTTACCGACAAGGTAACAGTGGCCGAATCTCTCAGCGGCAGTTCGCATGTAATCGTGCATGGTATGATTACATGCTATTCTGGATAGATAGATGCATCCAGAGACAATTATCTATCCCAAGCTGCATGTTTTGGTACCATGAACATGTGGGCTGCCACTGGCAGATGTGGCTGCTGTCACCCTTTTTTTTCTAGTAGTCAATGTGGACAAATCGGCAATCAGTTTTGACCGTAGCGATGAAAAAAAGAATTGAAGGAGCAGGATGGAAATTTTTTCTCAAGCAAACAAAATTCGAACAGTGAATGTGGTTTTTGTTCAAGAAACTCCAATGTCAAAAACCCAAACAAAATTTTGAATGACACTCGTCAGGCCTATTATAGCATTATTGATGCTCTGACGAGATTTTTCATATGAATGCTCGTATGAATATATACTAGTGTATACCTAGCATAACTGTGTAAGAATGATTGGGGAATTCCCTTTGTAAGTTTAAGCACCAGATGGAGCTTCATATATATTAAATAGGTATATGTAATGCATAGTGTGATGTCCTGAAACTGCTAACACCCAGAGAAACAAAAGAATTTCCTCAAAGTGCTTCAATGGGCTCATCCCTTAAAATAAAATAAAAAACCAAAGGAATTTAAAATACAACTGAAGTCAAAACTTTTTTTTTACTTTTAGATGCAGTGGAGAGGGATTAGAACACCTGTCAGCTTTTTAGTGCTGTCTGAGTCCTCCATTACGGAAATTTACCCTCTGTATTTGTCCTGGTGACCATTATCACTGAAATTGAAAGAAAATCCCACATTTTGGGTTGTCACCAGAGCAGGACTAGATGGGAAATTTTACAATGGGGACACTACTTCTGGTGACCCTGCTGACCACCAGGGATTTCCTTCACTTTGGAGGGATTTCCTCTCACTTCTTGTTGTAGCTTCCAGATAGTGATGGGAAATCTCCTCTTCGTGGGAACAGATGGCAAAAAAAACCTGACGGGTTATAACACTCCCTTATTCTATCGAAAATGTTAAAAAAAGTTTGGGTTTCAGTTCTACTTTAAAAACTCTGGTAAGTCGCTTAGTAAATGGGCCGACGGACTACATGCAATGTTTTATTTTAAATGTTTGACAAAGTAGAGAGTTTGTTTATATCTTTAATATGAAATAAAATAAGCAAGCCAAGCTTTCTGCCAATGTAGAATACCCATACGCCATGCTTTCTTAGCACTGGTGAAAACTTCCAGATCTGTGCCAACATTCCAGGGCTCCTTCCTACTGCTCTGTCACAAGAGGCCTGGAACACACAGATTTGCAACGCTCTGCAACTTTCCTCACCAGTGAAAGAGAAAAGCCTGTTAAGGAACAGTGCAATCTGTATTATTTTTGGCTGGCAGCATTCCTCTTTGTTAAGGGTAATACAAAACACACTATGTAAGTCTGTTTTAACGACAGGTCCAAATCTCGGCCAC